TGTTTTGCAAGTCTGGTCTAAAAAATAATTAAAATCAAAATTAATTTAACTTCAGAAATGTGTTTATCCACAGAATAATTCCCTGATTCAGAATAAGGACAAAAAGATATTCATAAAACAATCCTGAAATAGTAATGCATTGTATACTGAAGGTGGACTACAAGAAAATTATGGGTGTATATTTTCTCTGAAAATTGCCCCCCCCCCAAAAAAAAAATGTTACGTAGGTTTACACAGAGGGCAAACAATTTCATGTTTTATATTTGCTGAAATGGGGAAAATAGAAGTGATAGAAGAAAGTAAAAAAATTGTTTGGTAAAAGTTATCGAAAACTTTATGTAAGTAGAAAAATGTCTAGAAATTACTCTTATAAGTTTTAATGCTACTTGGTGAGAAATAAAATGTTTAAACAAAATATAGATACATGATTAAAAATTTATCAGATAATGGAAGAGGAGAAATAAATTTTTTTTTTCAGAACATATTTAACAACCGCATTGAATAATATGCAAGCTCTAATGAAAGATGTTTGGTTTCAAATTAAAAAAATAACATATTTTAGTAAGATTGGGCTAGATATAATCAGAAACGATTTTCACCATTAAGAAAAAAGTTGCACGAGCTTATCTAAAAGCCATATTGTTAAAAGATCATTTTGTATATTACCTTCATAGTTTGATTAGTACGTTCATCAAGTCCATTTGTCTGTGGGTGGTAAGCACTTGTTACTGAGTGCTTGATTTTAAATTTTGCCATAAGGCGAGAGTTTGTTTGATCATTAAATTCTCTGCCTTGGTCAGAGAGGATTCTTCTTGGCGGTCCGAAAATGCAGATGTAATCTAAAATCCCCTTTGCTACTTCATCCGCAGTCTTGTCCTTCAGAGCCACGACCCAAACATACTAAATGTTACAAAATAATTTTAGAAAAAATATATGTTAGGGTGGTTTAATTTCCCCATCTTTTATAACTTTAAGAATTTAAGAACTATATAAACCAAAATATTAAAGAATAAAGAAAAAATTATAATTTAGACTAAAGCAACTTATAACATGTATGAACTAAATGTGTGAGTGAAAAATCTAATTCAATTATAGAATATGAATTCTTAACCCCCC